CTATTTCTGGCTTTAGCTGCATTTCACTGTGTTGACATGTTGGATCTTCATTATTCAGTTCTATATTTTCTAATATCCTGTGAGGTTTTTTTTCTTTGACCCAAGGGTTATTTAGAATTGTATTGCTTAATGGTCAAACAATTGAGGGATTTTGTGGGTTTTGTTTATTTGTTTTGTATTGATGTATAGCTTAATTCTACTATGGTCAGAGAACATATGTCTTAAGATTTTAATTTTAAATGGAAATTTGTTAGAGTTTGCTTTATGACCAGCCTATGGCTAATTTTAGTAAATGTTCTATGTACACTTTAAAGGAATGTGTATGATATGTATTTTTCCTTCTCAGTACCTGATAGAACAAGTAAACCAAAATTTTTTATTTTTTAATCCCTCTGTGTCTTTTTATTTAAAGGTATCTCATGTCAACAGAATATAATTTTTAAAAAATCTGTCCTGACAATTGTATTGTTTTACTAGGAGTATTTAGTCCATACTAATTGGGTTGGGCTTTTAACTACACTCTTAAATATCAGTTTTCATTTGAGCTAACTTTCCTTTGCTCTGCTTTTCCTCCTTAATTGCCTTCTATTGGGTTAATAAAAATATTTGAAATTTATTTGTCTTGCTAATAACTTGTTAGTTATACATTATTTTTTGTTTTAGTTTTTTAAAATAATTAATCTAGCAATTGAAACAGGTATCCTTGACAATCTAATAGAAAGTATCACTTTTCTACTTTCTCGATAATGTCGAGACCTTAGAACCTCATCTTTGGCTTCCTTCATTTCTGTTGAGAAATCCATTGTCAATCTGACTTTGTTTCTTTTTCCATAAAAGGCCCACGAAATCATTTGGTCTGGCCCTGCCAAGGCATTAGAGGTGAGTTAATTAAATGTTTGACCAAATATAGCAGGCTAATTTTTAAGCTGATAATTTTGTATGGCCTTTAAATGATGTTATAAGTCTCCAAACGGCCCTTGGCAGAAAAAAAGGTCCCCCACCCCTGCTTTAAAGGTTGTATGTCTTTTTTTCTCTGTCTGCTTTTAAGATAATTCTCTTCATCTTTGGTATCAGCAGTCTTATTATGATCTGGCTTGTAGTTTTCTTTGTATTTATCTTCCTTTGTGTTTGCACAGCTTCTTGAAGATGGATTGAGAGGCTTCAGCAGTTTTAGGCAATAAATGGCCATTATCTTTCTAAGTATTGCTTCCCCCCATTCCATCCCTTCTCTTCTTATGATCCAATTACATGCATATTGGACCATTTCACGGTGTCCTAGATTTCTCTGACTCTCATTTCTATGTTTTTCATTCTTTTTTCTGTGTTCTTTAACTTTCTAATGACCTGTCATCCAGTTCATAAACACAGTCTTTCTCTGGGTCTAATCTCTTTCTTTCTCTGGGTCTAATCTCTTGAGTTCTTTTTTGTAAAAAACAATATATATATATATATATATATATATTTTTTAAAGGTTTTTTAAAAATTGATATTGAGAGAGAGAGAGAGAGAGAGAGAGAGAGGGAGAGAGAGAGAGAGAGGAAGGGAGATGGAGAGAGAAAAGCATCGATATGAGAGCGGAACATCCATAGGTGGCCTCCTGTATGCCCCCTACCAGGGATCAAGCTTGCAACCCGGGCATGTGCTCTGACCGGGAATTGAACCAGCAACCTTTCAGTGTATGGGACAACACCCATCCAACCGGACATGACATCTCTTTAGTTCTTAATTTTAGTTATTGTGTTTTCAGTTTTAGAATTTGTATTTGATTCTTTTATATATATATATATAGTTTCAAATCCTCTTGCTAATAAATTCTCTATTTTCCCATGTATTTTCTTCATCATTTTTTCTCTCTCGTTTTGAACATGTAAATCATGGTTATTTTAAAGTCCTCGGATAGCTCCTGGGTCTGGATCATGTGTAGGTATGTTTCTTTTTTCTCTTTGTGTTTTTCTTTCCTCCCCTCACCCCCAATTTGTTTTGAATCATATAGTCCCGTCACTTTTCATGCCTCGTAACTTTTGCTGTAAGGTCAGACATTACCCATTAAAACATTGCAGAGGTTCCAGGTGGTGCACCTCTTCTCTTCCAGGAAAACAGAGTGGAGGGTCGTCTCTAAATCAGGCAGAGACGCCTGAGTCGGGGCGCCTCTGCAGTTTGGACACGGCTTACCTTACCTATGGTTCTGCCCTGTGCCTCCCGGGGCTTTCAGATCTGGCCTGGTGTGATCACCAGGGCCCCTCCTCCGCTGGATCCTGATCTCTGATCTCTTCTCCTTAGCACCTGAGACCATGGGAGACAACTCTTGATTTTCAGAGGTTTTCTGCTTGAGTATTTAAACTTCTACCCCTCATACCTTCTGAGCTTGGCACGTGTCTTAAGGGGAGAACTGGACATTTGTTTGGCGTCATTCTCTACTTCTTTCTCCTGGGATCTTGGCCTCTCAAGTTTGTTTCTCTTGACCAAAGGCCCTGCAGGTTCGTCCGTCCCTCAGCAACGGCTCTCTGCCTGGGAAGACTGCAGATTCCCAGCCTCTGGCCTGGTGACCAGAATGCAAATATGCTCCCAGGGAAAGTGCTGCGGAATGTCAAGTCATCTCCTGCCCTGGCAATCCCCCGTCTCCGGAATCTTGGCCTGCTAGTCTGCATGGCTTCAGTAGCTCATTGATTCCTCAAAACAGATTTAAAATTTTTATTCAGCTTCTTTAGTTGCTCTTGATCCTGGGGTCCCCCAGAGGGCTTGGCCAGAGGTCCCCACCCTGTCCTCACAGAGAGGAGGCTGGGACACCGCTGGAAGGGGTCTCTGGGCCAGATTCTCCTGAGGGTGCTGATGACAGGTAGGGAGGCTGAGGCAGAAGATTCCCTTTCAGGCTCAGCCTGGGCAGCGGGAGCTCAGGCAGTGTATCGCCTGGTCTGCCGCAGTGGCAGCTTTGGTGAAAGGATTTCTGTACCGTTGTGATTCCCATGAATCGCCTTCCCCACCAGGTGGGGTTTGAAGCTCTGCACTGGTCCCAGCATCATGGGCCATCCCTCATGCCTGTGACTGCGCTGTTGCCCACAGTGACAGTCCCCTGTGCCCTGTCCTGGAGCCAGGGTGGCACTGTGCCTTCCGTCCCCGCACCTCCCCAGAGCCCCCCAGGTGTTTCCCCTCTCTACTCCTGCCCTGATCTGGGCACATGGGGACTTGACCACAGTCTGCTGTACTGGATGAAGCTCACTCTTCCCTCGCTGGAATTCAAGGCCTACTGGAGCCAAGGGCCCTGTGACGGCTGGTGCAGGACAAGGGCTGCCACCAACAGGAGCGCCTGCCCACCTCAGCCTGCCCCTCTGCCCAGGGTTCTCTCTGGGTGCCTCAGTCGGGCACTGTCCTACCTGTCAGCCAGGTAGTGGGTGCCCAAGGGCCATGCCCCTGCAGGGGGAAGGATGGGGTATCATGTGGGACACCCTCACCAAGCCCAGACCTTGCTGCTCCCTGAGTCCCATCTCCGTAGCCTGGGACACTTCCACAGGGAAGACCTGGTCCCGCCTCCCCTCCTGTCTGGTCCGAGTCTTGCTGCGGGCACTGCTTTGTCCACTCACTTCTGGCCTGTGGGCTTTTAGCGCCCAGGTACAGTCCTCTCGAACTGCACAGACCCGGCGCAGAGCCCACCACAGGCCTGTGTCCTTAAGGGGAGTTGCTTCCTCAGTGTGAGTGAAGGTGACCTTCAGGTGGATGTAAAGGTCACCTTCACACTCACTGGGATTGTCACAGAGCAGGCCCTGTGGAGTCTTGGCTGCACTGCAGCAGCTCACTCCCCAGCATCCTTCACTGATTCATGGGTGTGGTAACTTTTCTTGCTGAGGATATTAATTATAAGGTATTTAAAAATATTTTCTTCTCTTCCCTGTATTGTCTCTTTCTGCTGTGTGCCTTTTTTGTTTGTTCTAGTCTCTGCATTTCTTGCTAGAGGGTGTGGTCCCATTCAGTTTCCCCAGCTAAACACCCTGCACTCTCCCACGGCAGCCAGCACGCTGGGCGCGCAGCAGCAACAGGAGTAGCTGGGGTGCCACTGCTGGACATTTTGGGTGCAGTTCACACCTCTTTTTTGTATGTGCTTCACACCCACCCTCATCTGGTGCTCAGACCCCTGTGTTTAGGCTGGACAGAGCCTCTGGCGTCTGCCTGGTGGGGGAAGTGCTGGTGGGGCGCAGGGTTTTCGATATTCACAGGGTGGGGGTCTGAGGGTCTTCATTAGTCTGCTAGGGCTGCTGTAACAAAGTACCACCGATGGTGTATCTTAGACAACAAAAATTCGTTGTCTCACAGTCTGGAGGCTGGAAGTTCAAGATCAAGGTATCGGCAGGACTGGTTCCTCCTGCGGCTGGAGGGAGAATGGGCCCCAGGGCTCCCCAGCTCCTGGTGGCTACTGCCAATCTTTGGTGCTTCTGGGCTTGTGGATGCATTACCATCTCTGCCTCCTTCTTCACCGGACATCCTCCCTGCAAGTGTCTGTGTCCAAATGTTCCTTATTATGAGGACACCAGTCATATTGTGTTAGGGGCCCACCCGACTCCCGTGGGACCTCATTTTAACCAGTTACATCGGCAAGGACCCTAATTCCAAATAAGGCCACGTTCTGAGGTCCTGGGGGTTAGGGCTTCCACATGTGCGTTTGGAGGACATAGTTCAACCCACAACAGGGTCTAATGCTCCCTCCGGTGACTTTCCACAAATGTGTGTTTTTGGTGTCGCCCAGACACTGGCCTTCAGGAGAACCTGAGCCTTTCTGGGTCCCACAGCAAAGTGGCTGTTTCTTGTTAGGCTTCACGCCTCCCATTGACTTCCTTTCTAAAATTCGTGGCATTTCTCCCCTGCAGCTGCCCCTCCAATCCTGTCCTGTGGGCTGGAACCCGGTGCAGGTGTCACTTAGGGTTTGGTGGGAAGTGGGTTCAATTGCCAACCAGAAACCTCTTCTGCCTTTTTAGATATTGTTTCCAGTTCACGTCTCCCTTTTTCCCAAGGTGTGTCCTGTTCTTGCTGGGGTTCTTGCCACTGCCAGGAGTGACCCACGAAGGTTGCAGAGATGGCCGGGGCCTCAGTGAAGGTGGCGGTGCGTGTCCGCCCCTTCAATTCCCGGGAAATGAGCCGTGACTCCAAGTGCATCATCCAGATGTCCGGAAGCACCACCAGTGAGTATTGGCTGCGATGGATTGTTGGCTGCTGCTGGTGCTAGGCCATGGGTCCTGTCTCCTGGCCAGAGGTAGCAGCTGATCTGGCCTGGCTCGCTCTTGCTTCTCGGTGTGTAGGTTTCCTGGGGCTGCAGTAACAGATGACCACAAACTGTGTGGCTGAAAACAACAGAAATGCATTCTCTCAGTTCTGAAGGCCAGAGTCCGAAATCAAGGTGTTGATGGGGCTGGTGTGTCCATGTCATCATGTGGCCTCCTTATGGGGACAGCGATCAATGGATTCCACACCCACCCTACTCCACTGTGACCTCATCTTGACAACTAATCACATCTGCAAAGACCCTGTTTCCAAATAAGGCCACATTCTGAGGTTCAGGGGGCCATGAATTTTAGGGGACACTGTTCCACCCATGGTTACTGATTCCTTGTCTTGCTTCAGTGGCCCCAGGTTCATAAATTGTTTTCCTTTTTCTATTCTTTTGCTGTGTTTATAATTGTAAATCATCTCAGAACCTTCTGAGAAGTGGGAGGCCTGGAGTCAACATCGTGCGTAGGAGGTGGGAGGAGAGAGGCAAATTCAAGAAAGTCAGAAAGGCAGACACACCCTGAGGGGTCCTTAGCACACAGGGTCCGGCTGCGGAGCGGAAGAGAGGATGCCTCCCAGACCCCCTTGGCTCCATTGTCACACCCATTTGTAGTGAGTTGCTGCTTGGGTGCAGATGTGGGCAGAGCTCACCGTCTGAGCGGAAGCCCTCTTTGCCCATGCGGACACTGGTAGTTGCCTCTGTCAACCTGTGCAGTCTCAATGCCTAACTCATCTGAGAAGTCAGCCCCCATTTGCCATCACTGTTCTAGAATGTTCTAGGCTCCAAGTAGAGCTTCACTGGACACGGAAGAGCACCGAAGGGAGCATGGCTGTGGCCGAGCAGGTGGCCACACTCTGCAGGCCTTTTCATTAGAGGAGGAGTTGGAGACACATGATGTGGGAGGCTGGCAGGACCCTGGGCAGCAGCTCAGCCAAGGGCCCGGGGCCTGCTGTCATTGGCTGCCCCCAGGCCGACATGTCCTTGGCACTCCCTGATTGAACCATCCGGGGACAGCTCAGAGGACTTGAGCTGCTTTCACCCTGGAGGCCAACCCATTAGAGTCAAGATGGGCTCTTCACTGGCAGAGGTCACAGTGGTGACCCACATCTGCTGTCCCTGTAGTCCCACAGGAATGAGGACTGTCTGTTACAGCACAGGTGGGGAAACTCATCAGCCGGCATTTGCTGAGCGTGAGCTCGTGCCAGGCTGCACTCTAGGCACCGGGTACTCACTGCCCTCGGGCTGATGCTCGGTGGGGTGATGGATGATGCACGCATGTGCACAGTGAGATAGAACTAGACCGGCCCGTGCCACAGGCCCCGCCCCACAGGGTCAATAGGGTGCAGTGACAGGGCAGGGGGACTTGCTGAGGTGTGTGGGGCGTGTGAGGCAAATTAGATCAACGGAAAGGAGGCTTCCTCATCAGAGGATGGGAGGGTCTCCTGTGCTGACAGGCAAATGCCTGGGTTTGAGCTAATGCTTCGCTGGAACCCCGCTGAGGTTTTGGTCTCTGCTTCAGCTAGGCTTCCTCCCAAATCCTCTGAGTCTGGGGCAGTGACCTGGTAAAACAGCACGCATCTCTCTCTTTCTTTCTCTCTTTCTTTAGCTCACACACACACACACACACACACACCCCTATGTTTGCCAGTTTCTGTCCTGTGAACACTCTCCCCACAGCCAGTTTCAGGCCACCTAGGGTTTAAGGACAGGCGCACAGATTCCGAGCACCGGACACCGCTGTGCTGGAGGTGCCGGCATCTCTGCCTGGGGTGCAGCTGAAGACTGCAGGGCATGCAGGCAGACAGTGGCTGCCGTTGACTCCTTTCCTCCTGGTCTCGCCTCCCGACTCAAGCTGGCATCCCCACAGCTCGTGTCTTTGACCCTGGGGCACTGCCCCCTCCGTTGGCTCCTGCAGAGCCTGGGCAGGGCTGGGGGCATTTCAGGGAGCTGTCCCCGAGCCGCCTGCCCAGCGTGCCCCGAGGGCTGTTCTCCTTCCTCTCCTCAAACGTACACAAGGAGAACCGGGGACCCTGCAAGGGAAGGCTGTTCTCCAGCAAAACGGCTCCTCTCTGCGTGCAGCAGGCTGAGGGGGGTGCCTGTCCGGCCGGCCTTGGCAGGTCACCCTGGTGAGGACTCAGGGGCGACAGTAGAGAGCCAGGTCTGGGTGGACCCTGGGCTCCAGTCTGGCTGTGTGCCCTGTGACCCAGGGAGGGCACGACCCCTCTGACCTCAGAATCTGTAACGATAGAGGGCATTTCTCAGACACCACAGGACCTCCAGGGGGTCAACCATTCCAGGGGACCCGTCGGCAAGGGGTGGGGGGAGGTCCCGAGGGCCAGAGCAGCTCTGCCCACTGGTCTCCATGGCAGGTTCTCCTTAGCACGTACCCCTCCCTCTGACCTGTCTGTCAGCTGTCCCAGCCCACCCACAGTTCCTTGAGCACATCTGTGCCCTGGCCCTGTGCGGGCTCCCACCTCAGGGAGCTCATGGTCCATGTGGGTGTATACAAACATGCTAGCACCAGGACACCATCAGAGCAAGGTCAGCGCCTGGGGTTGGGCCAGTGTCATGTGGGTGAAGAGAGCAGGATGGATGGGGGTGTGGGGATGGGGCCAGGCTGCTCAGAGAGCCGGTGTGGGGGCCAGCCAGGAATGGGAGAGCAGGGCGGGGCTCGGGCCTGTCCTGGGAACCTGGCCCACAGGCAGGGAGGGGAGGAGATGAGGTCATGGAGGTGAGGCATTGTGGGGTGAGCCAGGGACCGGGCCACTTGCTGCCAGGGGACCCAGTGGAGGCCCAGCCCAGGCTGCCCGTGTCAAGAGGGCTGGTGATTGTTGTTTCTATGGTGCCCGCATGATCTGCACTGGGGTGGTGGCCGAGCCCCTAGGTCTCAGGAGGTGAAGCCAGGGCAGCTTGCTCTCCGCTGGGCCTGGCTCCTGGAGGCAGCATGGATGTGACCCCCTCTTGGCTGCGAGGACAGGGATGTGATGGTCCGTCACCTTCTCCTTTTTGTAGCTTCCCAAGGGCACTGGGTCATCTCCCAGAAGCGCTCAAGCCTGGGGTCTGGAGCCCAAAGCCAGGTCAGCCCTGGGGATGGGGCCTCATTTGACGCCCGTGCCGTGAGCAGGAATTCAGCTAGGGCAAATGGCCGAGGGGCCTGCCCAGGAACCGGGCCTGGGGCAGCCGCAGGAGCCTGGCAAGGCTGAGGGGAGGTGTTGGCTTTCCAGGGCTGCCCTACAAGGTACCACACGGAGGCTTGGACATCAGGTCTGGAGGCTGGAAGTGCGAGCTTAGGTGTGGGCAGGTGGTTCCCTCAGAGGCTGTGAGGGAGAATCCGCTCCCTGCCTCTCCAGCTCCTGGCGGCCACTGCAGTCCTTGCAGTCCCTGGCGTGTAGCCGCATCGCTGCATCCCTGTTCCATTTTTGCATGGCCTGCTCCCTGTGTGCATGTCTGTGTCACATGTCCCCTTTTATAAGGAAACAGTCATGTTGGATTAGGGCCATCTGACTCCAGTATGACCTCATCTTCACCAGTTACATCTGTAAGGACCCCACCTCCAAATAAGGTCATTCTGAGGCCTGGGGGTCAGGACTCCCACATATGAATTCGAGGGGTCTGCTTCTCTTGATGCTGGTGACAGGTCACCGGGTGGGGCCAGGGGTGTGGGGTCCTGAAGGCTGTGCCGTGCCCAGGAAAGTGAGGGCCCCAGCCAGTTGTCCCTGCGGAGAATCAGTGATGGTGAGCAACCATGGCCTCCATCCCCAAACATGGGGGTGGGGGAGTGGCCTCCTAGGGGTGCCTGAAGCCTTGATGACTGGGACTGGTCCGAGTTCCTGGTGGATCCCCTGGAGGGATCTGCCTCCAGCTGGGTGGTACGTTGGGGGGTCTAACAGTCCTCTATCAACATGGACATTTCGGGTTCAGACAGTGGGCAGCAGGCAGGGTGGTCTGACGGGGTTGGGGCCGAGGTCCGTCCTGCCACTGAGGACCTACTGCCTGCTGGGTTCGGAGTCTGGGAAACGCTGAGGACTGGGCCTCACAGACCTGGGGTGAAGCAGCCTTGGACGGGGGGAGGGGTGTCCTGGCACACTTGGCAGGCGCCAGGGAGGGTGATCGCTTCACCTCGAGTTTGTGGCTTCCTTCCTAGTTTGATGAACTGATGTTCCGTGACTCGTGAGCAAGGCCTCAGCCAGGCCGGGGTGCAGCTCAGTGAGGGAGAAGGGAGGGACCTGTGAGGGGACAGTCCTTAGAGCCATGAGCGCACACCTGGAAAGAACCTGAAAGGGCACTGATGGGAAGAGAATAAGTCGAGTCCCTGCGGGTGGCGGGGGTCGGGGAGGCGCAGCCAGCACTCCCGGACACACAGTGGAGATGCAGCAAAGCGCTAACCACCACACCTGTCCCCCTCCCTACAGCCATCGTTAACCCCAAACAGCCCAAGGAGACGCCCAAAAGCTTCAGCTTCGACTACTCCTACTGGTCGCACACCTCGGTAAGCCCGGGCTGGGGGTCCACGGGAGGTGGGCCACAGCTGTGTGGACACCGCTCAGCCCCTCCTGCTGTGTGGCCCACACCCAGTCCCTCGGCCTCTCTGAGCTGCATGTTCCTCTCTAAATGAGGCGATGACCACATGTCTTCCTGCCCTGGAGGTTCCGGGACATGATGTGGGCCCTCGGGGAACGTAGTGGGCTGAGCCCTCAGCGCCCCCGACTCCTGCAGCTGCAGCCCCTCTTATCCTGCAGCCCGAGGACATCAACTATGCGTCGCAGAAGCAGGTGTACCAGGACATCGGCGAGGAGATGCTGCAGCACGCCTTCGAGGGCTACAACGTCTGCATCTTCGCCTACGGCCAGACGGGGGCCGGCAAGTCCTACACCATGATGGGCAAGCAGGAGAAGGACCAGCAGGGCATCATCCCACAGGCATGTGGGGCAGGGAGGGCACAGGCGATGGGGGGCAGGACCCAGTGATGGCGGGACACAGAGCAGCAGGGGCAGCTGGGAGACCCGCTGGTGGAAGTGACCCTCCCCTGGGGGCTGTGAGGACTGGTGGTCTGGGAAGGGAGAGGTGCCCAGGTTAACTGAAGGCTGAGATGCAGATGCCTCAGATTCTGCTGGGACCCACCCCGGCCCAGCCCCCGGGTGGGCTTCTGGATCTGAGCTGCTCAGTGCTTGACCTGGTCAGGGCAGCAGAGAACACTGGGTGGTCTGTAACATGGCAGACCCCCCCACCCCATGCAGACAAGGACAGCCGGAGGAGCAGGCCAGTGTGAGCAGATGATACGTGAGAAAAGGTCAGATGTCAATGAGGGGACCACTGAGTTAAGCAGAAGACAGCAGCTCATTCGCCTGCAGGCCTTCTCAGTGCCTTCAAGATGAACTGTGAGGGTGTGAGGGGCCAGGAGAACAACGGCTAGCCTGGGCGCAGGCAACCCATAGCACCCTGAGGGCAGGGCTTTCATCATCTGACTATGTCTTGGGTCTCTACAGCTCTGCGAGGACCTGTTCTCCCGCATCAATGACACGACCAATGACAACATGTCCTACTCCGTGGAGGTAGGGGTCCCCGCCCAGCTTCTGGTCCTCCGGGCATGACTGGGGTCGTAGGCATGGATAGCGATGCTTTTCTGGTGCATAGTGAGTCCCCATCACTGGTTTGTGCCCTTAGCTTGTCACTCGCTAGCACATGTGGCAACCATGCCACCACACCCACTCAGGGCACAGATGTGCAGGGCGCAGGGGAGTGAGGGGCAGTCCTCTGCTCAGCTGGTGTGCTGGGCACAGGGACAGGTGCCTCAGAGCTGCATAGCCTGGGCCATACTGTGGCTGTGGCCCCAGGGTGAGCCCCAGGATGGCTGTGGGTGTGAGGGCCAGGCAGGCAGGGATGGGCTGATACCCCCAGTGCACACACTCACACAGGGGCTTGGATTCCTTTGCACACCTCCCCCTGCCCAGTGGGCAGTCCACGCTCCCTGCCCCAAGAGTCTCTAATGGTGGCCCCTGCACTCCCTCCTCAGGGTTCTTGGGTAGTGACCCCCACATCTCCTAATACCCCCTCCTCAGGAGTCCCTGACGACAGCCCACCTCCCATCTTGAGTGTTTCTGATAACTGACCCCACACCTATCTTTGGGGTTTCTGATGATGGCCCCCACACAAATGTCTCTGCCCTGCAGGTCAGCTACATGGAGATCTACTGTGAGCGTGTCCGCGACCTCCTGAACCCCAAGAACAAGGGCAACCTGCGTGTGAGGGAGCACCCGCTGCTGGGGCCGTATGTGGAGGACCTCTCCAAGCTGGCCGTCACCTCCTACAATGACATCCAGGACCTCATGGACTCAGGGAACAAGGCCAGGTGTGTGGGGTGACTCGCCCACCCTCTCTGTCCTCTAACCCCCACTGTGCCCACAGCTTCTAGTCTCTGTGAGGAAGGCTGGTCCCTGGGGCACCTGTCGTCTTCCCTGAGGAGGTGTGGGCCTTGGGGGCCTGCAGCTCCCTGTACAGGGGGACACTGTGACCTACAGGTGGGCTGCTCCTCCTGGGGGTGGGCTGTGCACCCTGCGGGGGAAGTGCCGGCGCCATCTGTGGCTGCTGCCCCAGGTGGTCATCCCTACAGGCAGCTGGCCTGCTGGGCCCAGTGACCAGGAGACTGAGGTCTGGCCCACCTGCTCTGAGGGTAAATGGGGCCCGTGGATAGGGCTCTGGGCAGGAGCTCATGGGGAAGTGTCAGCTGTAGGCACTGCCGGCCATAAGCAGCCCATCTTCCTGGGCTTCACTGCCTGGTTGTCATGACAACAGTCCCCCTCTTTATCACCCAGGGACTCCTGGAGGGTTAGGGTTCCCTTTGTGGGTTACCACCACCCCTCATTTGTGGTCCTGTGGGGGCGCTGTTCTGACGAGGCCCCTCGTGCTGTGGGCTGTCAGGGAGCCTATCGGGGGACACTTCCCTGAGGTCTCTGCCTGTCGGTGGCTTTGGGGCTTCCCACATCACAGCCGTGAGGGCTCCTGCCCAGCTTATAGAGTGAGCAATACCTGGCTTTGCTGAGCACCTGGGAGTAGAGATATACCCCCAGTCACAGCACCCCAAGTACCAGGCTGGAGCTGGGGGGTGAGGGTCCCATGATGGACATGGTGGACAGGGGTGTGTGGGCCCTGTTGCTCTGACAGGAGGCATGGTCACCAGCGGGGCAGCCCTGAGAACCCAGGGCAGCTGACACCCCATGACCTGGCCCAGGGGACTGGCACCACCGGTGACCCGAATGTCCAACCACAGGAGGGTGGGTAACCACAAGTGTCCTCTGTCCCCTCAGGACTGTGGCCGCCACGAACATGAATGAGACCAGCAGCCGCTCCCACGCCGTCTTCAACATCATCTTCACTCAGAAGCGCCACGACGCGGAGACCGACATCACCACAGAGAAAGTGAGCGTGGCCTTGGTGCTGGTGACATCAGGCAGGCGGACGGGTCCGGCCGGTCAGGCAGGATGAGGAGGCCAAGCCACACACTGGCCTGGGAGGCATGGGCAGCGACCTCACACCGGGTACCAGGCACTTCCACCCCTTGGTGAGAGGTTGGCCAGACCTGGGAGGCCGCCTCATCTGGGCATTTGATGCCACCTGGGTGTGGAAGGGACTTGGGGTGGAGGGGCCATGGACTCTCCTACCAGATGGTTTTGGTGGAGACTGGGGGCTGAGATGTCCCCAGAGCTGCACCCCAGCACAGCCCCACAGGCCCAGGATGCCTGGGCGACCCGCGGAGGCAGCAGTGGAGGCCAGGAGGTCTCAGCTCGAGTGAGTGCCTGTCACAGAGGTGACCGTGGGCACTGGCATCTTCGAGCACAAAGGAGAGGCTGTGCTGAGCGGGCACCACCCTGCCCCACTGCCCACAGCCCCAGATGCCTTTCCCACGTGCCTTGGCATGCGCCATGGACCCAGGCAGGGGGGTCCTCTTCTGAAGCTTCTATCCCAACACGCATCTGTGGGCTCCGGAAAGGGACAGCAGGGCCGGTGCCAAGCCTGTTCACGTCCACCAGTAGCTGTGCCCTATAGCGCCGGGTTTCCTCTGATTGTGCCTCTACCCCACCCCCATGTCCAGGCCTTCTCCCAGGGCACCTCAGCCACCTCCCGGAGGGCCGGCTCTCTCAGGCAGCACCCCAGGATCCACAGAGGGTCAGGGAAGATAGCGCCACTCAGATCTGGTGGTGCTGGGGTCACCTCGGCCAGGCACTAGCCTCCTGGAGGCTCATGACAGCCCAATGGGGCCTGGAGGGCAGGGACGGGTCAGCCTGGTTGCAGGGTACCGAGAGGGTCCCACTGATGTCTGGGCCTGTTGACATCTGGGCGAGTTGCCCTCAGTAGCCATGTTCAAGAGGGCCTTGGCCTCCTCTGAATGCAGGTGGCCACCTGCCCTAGGCCAGGGAAGTGTACTGGGGCCCCCTACCCCGGGCACGAGGAATTCAAGCAGTGGCTGGGGCGCTGGAACCGGGTTTAAACCCCAGCACAGGCAAAGTTCCCGTCTGTGGAAATGGGTGCTAGTGAGGGACCCACCTCATGGGTGCTGTGGGGAGTCCACGCACAAACACGTGAAGAGCATCGAGTGTGCAGAAAACAGTGTAGCCGCAACCCTGTGCTCAGGGGTGGGGGGCCTGCAGCCTGTGAGGTGAGGTGGCCTCAAACCTCAGGTAGTGTCCGAAGAGCTGCGAACAGAGGTGCAGAGGGAACGCAGGGCCACAGACTTTTAGACCCCCAGGGTGGGGCTTGGCCGTGGCTCCGCGGGTGGGCCCTTTAGGCGGTGCCCAGGGAGGAAGGGTGCCCCATAGCAGCCTCATGGCATCTTCTGCAGTTGACACATTTGCCTTTTCAGGTGAGCAAAATCAGCCTGGTGGACTTGGCTGGGAGCGAGCGGGCTGACTCCACAGGAGCGAAGGGCACGCGGCTCAAGGTAGGGGCCCAACCGCCACGCCCATGGAGAGCAGTGGGTCCCCTGCTACCCTACTCAAAGGCGGGGTCAAGTCTTCAATCCTGGCTTGTTCCAGGGTGGGCCAGGCAGGAGGGTTCAGCCCTTCTTGGGGTTGGAGGGAGGTATTGGGGCCACCCTCATGGGTGAGCCTAGGTGGGTGGGTGGGGGGCACAGGTGAGGAGATGGGAGAAGGCCAGCAGGCAGACAACCTGGCAGGAAAGCTGGGCCCTCTGAGGGCCCCACAGCACCTTGCCACTGGGGTCTGCGCTTTCCCACCGGAAGAACACAGGCTGCGAGGCAGCTGTGGGAGGGGCAGTGAGCTGGCCGGCCATGGTCCTGCGGGGATACCTCTGGTCAAGCAGTCTTGAGTGTCAGGAAAGAGAATTTTTGTTTCCCTGAGCCCCTCTTTGGTCCCCACTGTTACCTGATGGATGGGATGAGGCTTTGGAAATGTTTCCAGGTGAGGCATCTGTGGGGTGTTACTAGGATTTCTAGGAAGCCCAGGAGAACCCTGGGCAAACTGCACTCCCTGCCCGGCCAGGTGGGCCTCTGATCGGCCTCCTGTCGGAGGCTCCCATACCCCCTAAAAGCCCAAAGGGTCAACAGTCCTGGCTGGGTGGTCTCAGCCCACCCCACATGGGTCAGGCCCCAGGCTCCCGAGGCTTCCTAATGTCCCGACCGTCTTCTCCACCACAGGAGGGAGCCAATATCAACAAGTCCTTGACTACACTGGGGAAGGTCATCTCTGCTCTGGCTGAAATGGTGAGCGGGCTCGGGCTTCTGGGACGAGGCTGATGGGGCAGACCATGGCGGGGCCGCCCTGTCCTGCTTTCCTCGGGGGATGCTGGGAACCTTTCGGGGTTCTAGGGAAGCCCAGAGATGTGGGTGGGGTGTCACTAGGCTACAGATGGAGTCACTTCCTGAAGCCTCAGTGTCCCCACCTGTAAAATTGGGGTGAGCTGTATTCCCCCCAGGGCCCTTCGCAGGGTCACCATGAGCTTTGGTGAGCTTGTTGGCTGGCGTCCTTCTTGGGGGGCAGGGCTGTGTCAGCTCTGACCTCAGTTAGCCCCACCCGGGCCATCCTCCAGGAGGGAGCCCATGGCCCTTGGAGCTGAGGGACTGGGTTTGATGGGCCCCACAGGGCAGGCAGTATTGCCCACTCACCAAGACTCCCAGGCCTTCAGCCAGGGATGGGCAAATCTCCGGAGACCCTGCCGACCTCTGAAATTGTTGATGGAGAGAAGGGCTGATGGGGGGCAGCAGCCTGAGAGGCTGCACTATCGTTTGGTCTGACTCTCAGGCCCAGCTCAGGGTGGCCAGCGATGGCCGGGCGGCGAGTGATGGACGCCTGGCATGTGCTCAGGCCTTCCCTGCTCCTTTGCCCTCTGGAGCCAGCCCATCCCCCTCTCCTCGCACACCCTGGGGCCCCAGTCTCGCTCCAGGTCCTCAGACTCTTTCTGTCTTTTCCTTTTCAGGACTCTGGGCCCAATAAGGTGAGCTGCTTGCTTCAGTTCCAGTGGGGAGGCGTCTTCAGTCCTTGACGGGGAGGGGCTAGAAGCAAACAGTGTCCTTAGCTCAGGCTACCCTCGCGAAGGCTGCAGCAGTAGAATTCACCCTTCATTTGTGCACTTAACCAGCAAACACATTGCGCCCAACTCTGAGCTAGGCCAGAGCAACACAGGCCTTCTGGGGCTGGGACAGTGCAGGAGGCAGATAATAGAAACAGAAAAGGAAGAATATAGGGGTGGGCAAAAGCAGGTTTATAGTTGTGAGTGTGAAACAGTTACTAAAGCTATCATAATAGTCATAACCTGCATGTCTTTTTCCATACGAACAACTGTGTTGACCTTCTAGGAATAAGACGGTGCAGGCTGGGAAGGCCGAGGAGAGGGAGGGCGGTGGGTGGTTCTGGGAGTTGCTGAGCATGGCAGAGCAAGGGCTGCTGGTGGGTGGACGGGCACTGGTGAGGGAGCAGCAGAAGTCAAAGGCGAAGTAACTGAGTGATTGTAGGGCATGTACTGTGGCGACAAGGACAAATGTGGCAGAGATTCAGCCTCAGGAATTAAGTAAAGAAAAGTAGGAATGCAGTTTTTCACCCACCAAGTTTCCAAAGGAGAAAAGGGAAGCCCCAAGTACTGATGGCTTGGAGTTCAAACCGGCTCACAGAGCCGGCCCAGCGTTCCTGAAACCCCCTTTGACAGCGTGTCTTGAGAGCGTTCACCCTTTGTCCCCTGAGAGTTGTGGAGCTCCTCTTGGGGATCATCCTAAAAAGCAATGACGAATGTGTTGGCCCCAGAGAAATGGCCCGGCCCCTTGCAGGGGCACCTGTGAGTGTCCATGGGAGGGGCTCTGGGGGCAGGGGCCGTGCCCGTTGGCCACTATGGGGGCTCCACAAATATTTTTAAAAAATCCTCTCCCAAGGATATTTTCCCATTGATTTTTAGAGAATGGAAAGGAGGGAGGAGGGGTGGGGAATAGAGACAGAGAGAGAGAGAAACATCGATGTGAGGGAGACACATCAATTGGTTGCCTCCTGCACATGTCCTGACCGGGGCCAAGGATTGAGCCTGCAACCCAGTGCTCTTGACCGGGAATTGAACCCAAGACCCTTTGGTCCAAGGGCCGAGAAACCCAGCTAGGGCCACAAATACTTCTTAAGCAGCTGTGCACATAAAAGAGCCGACACTGGAAAGTAACTGAATATTAGTGATTAGTGGAGTCACTATGTCAGTCATGGCAGGTCCACCGAAGTGATTCTCGCAGCCGTTATATGGGCTGGAGTCCACATTTTGAGTGGATTTGCCTTACTAGAGGAATAAAGAGCCACTGGGGTAGACAGTGTGGAGGGTGCTTCTTTAGGGGAGGGAGGGGCACAGGTATGAAAGCAGGGCTTGCACTCTGGCTTCTGAAGGGAGGTGGGAAGTTTGATGGACATGGAGGGTGGGTGCTGTGTGGAAGGGCGGTAAGCTGTGGGGTTGGCGGAGGCCGGATGCCGCACTTCGCTGTGGGGCCTTTTATTTCAGTCAGCAGAGCCACTGCTGGTGTTTGAGGAGGGGCTCAGATGGGCCCTTCTGACAGGGAGGAGGGCGATACACCAGCCGTGACATCAGCACGCCTGGGCTCGGGTCCCGCTGTGCGACCCAGACACGGTGGGGATGACAAGCGAGGGACCTGAGGGATGTGCAGCAAGTCGCTGATTCCAGCCCTGGGGGAGGTGCCTGGCGGGGCACCCTGGGTCCAGGTGTGGAGAAGCCTTAGAGCTGGCCCAGCCCTGCCCCCCACGGCAGCCTTGGCTTTGGGGACCACCTTGTGCTTGCCCCCGCTCCTCCATGAGTTCAGGGTTGACCTTGAATGTTCCTCCCGCACAGAACAAGAAAAAGAAGAAGACAGATTTCATTCCCTACCGAGATTCTGTGCTGACCTGGCTCCTCAGGGAGAACCTGGGTGAGGACTGGTGGGTTCGCCCAACCCTGGGGTTCTAACTCCCAGCGTGGGCCACTGCCCTGTCTCCCTGCCTGGAGGGGTGTCCAGCCACCAGGAGGCCTAGTTCCTTTCTGGGCCACGACTGAGGTGAACCTGGGGGGTCCTACCAGAGGGCCTGGGACAGTGGCCAGAGAAAGGTTATTGACAGCAAGTGTGGGGAACCAGGATGGTCCACGGGCCACAGAACCCACCCACCCATGACAGGGTTCCTGGTTCAGGCCTGACACCCAGACCAAGTGCCCACTCCTCTCTGGCCTTGGTTTCCCGTTCTATGATAAGGACCCGGGACTCTGCTTGCTGGGTTTTGGGGAGCTGCCATAAATCACCCCTTCTCCTCTCTGCCTGAGTTTGTAACCAGTAGCAGTAGATGGGGAGATGGAAACTGAAATGCCTCTCACCCAAATATAAACTCAGGGGTCCTCCCCAGCGGGGGAAGTTGATGCCTAGGGCGATAGACTGAGTCTTGGGCTGGCCTGATGAACATAGACAGTTGATCCCCGGCCTTTCTCGGCTGCATCCTAGAGCCCCTCTGTGCGCACCCAGTTGGCCCATGATTCTGTTTACCTCTCTGAGCCTCAGCCCCGCCAGCTGTAAATGTAGGAGGCGACGGAGAGGGGAGAACAGGCCGTGGGCTGACCTTCTGCACGGCCTGGTCTTCTTCCCACAGGTGGGAACTCGAGGACGGCGATGGTGGCGGCCCTGAGCCCGGCAGACATCAACTATGACGAGACCCTGAGCACGCTGAGGTGTGTTCTGAGGGAGGCGGGCCCTGCGCCCCAACCAGGTCGGGTGGGAGTGATCCCTCCCTGCCCAAGTCAGGAACACCTGTGAGAGGGGTGCCTCTTGGGGAGGTCATTTCACCTGGGACTCCTTGAGGCTCCAATTGCTGTCAGGGGTGCCTGGGTCTCCATGGGACCTGTTCCATTCCCATAACCCTTTGGGGTACACTTTGGGGCTACGAGTGGCCAAGGGCCCTCGTGCAAACGACTGGGAGAGCTGTGCTTGTGGGCTGAGCAGCTTGCAGCCCCAATCAGCCATGAGAGCCACTGCGGATCTTTAATTAGCAGAGGGGTGAGGGTGTCTTAAAGGTCCCCCTGGCTGCAGGCGGGTACCCTTCGGGGGGAGCCCGGGCTCCTGCGCTAGCAGCCAGGTCAGCATCTCGGGCCCTTTTGACTGAGCACTGCTGGTAGTAAAGAGAAAAAGGACACGGGACACGCTCCCCTCTGTACCTACGTGTGCATTTGCTGAGCAAGGCTCGGGCTCAGACAGGCAAACACTTGGATGTTCTCACATCCCCCACGGGCTCCCTCCACCCTGGAACCGAGGTCCAGGAGCCCAGGCCTCTCCGTAGGGAGAAGATGCTGCCCCATCCCTTCTCCTGGGGCCTGGGTTTCCCTAAGTGGGTGAGCTAGGGCAGGGTGACCCCACCTGTAGGTCTCTGGGAAATGGCCCTATTGACTCCCAGTGGGGTGACTCTTTGCTCTGCCCAAGCCCCAGGCCCTTGCTCTGCCCCCCCACCCCCAACCCTTGGGCCTGCCAGCATGGGCACAGCCCATAGCTCCCTCTGCTGCCCAGGTACGCGGACCGGGCTAAGCAGATCCGCTGTAACGCCGTCATCAACGAGGACCCCAACAACAAACTGATCCGTGAGCTGAAGGATGAGGTGACCCGGCTGCGGGACCTGCTGTATGCCCAGGGTCTTGGGGACATCACCGACAGTGAGTATCTGTGTCCGCCTGTCCTGGGCAGGGGGACTGGGCAGGGGGACCAGGCTGTGGGTCCCCAGGGACCTCCTGGGCCAGCCTGGCCTCCCTCCTGTGGGTCAGGCTGCCACCGAGGTCCCTCTGACCCAGTCCCAGCCCCTGCCTTGTTCCTGGCAGAGCTGTTCCTGGCAGAACTGCCCTGGATGGGAGGCCTGGGGGGACCGCATGGTTTGGGTTTGGTGCTGGCCCAAGCAGGCCAGAGATGGTCTCCCCAGAAGCCATGTTGGCATGCCACGGGTGCGGGGGTCCCTGTGTCCCCGCTGAAGACCAGAGCTGCCTGCCTGATGCCCGGCCTGGGACGGGCAGCCCCGGACTCTCGAGACAAACCTCTTCTTCTGTTTCTCTGTCTCTCCTCCCTCCCCCACGCCTCCGCTCCCCCTTAGCCAACACTGTGCCCGGAGGACCCAAATGTGTGTATCCCCTGCTGCTCTCTGTGCATCCCTGCTTCTGCCACCTGCCCTCAGGGTGTGGGGCAGCCCAGCGGGAGGGGCAAGGCCCAGGGACAGCGGGGAGGGGCAAGCTCACCCCCTCTTTAGGGGCTGGGACAACAGCCCTCTCACAGGTGCCCTTCTGGTAGATTTGGGGTCACATCCCAGGGAGGCAAGGGGCTGCCAAGGCCTCTTCAGACTAAAAGTGTCTGGGCTCAGGCTCCTGGCCCCCATGTGCCCCAGAGGCCTGGGGAGTCCCGAGTGTCAGCGCTGGAGGCCCGGTCCGTCCCTGGCTCCTGGCCCCTGGCCCCACCTCTCTCGGGCCCTTCATGCCCCAAGGCCTTTTCCCTTTGGAAATGCCAAGAGTCTGATTGCTGCCAGATCCTCCCCGCCTGTGACCCCTGCTGGCCTTGGGCTTGGCTCCCTGAGCAAGGGCACAGTTCAGTGCCTCCCGACCCCAAGGGTGGAGGGGCTCTCCGCTTCCCCGGTACCCCGTGCTGATCCGTTTGCTGCTGCTTTGCTCCACGTCTGCTTCTGCCAGGAGGGGCCTAGAGGGTGTCACAGCCCCAACTCTGGGGCCTTCGGGGCCCTGGTGTGGCTGGGGCTCCCTGGGTGCCCAGTGCTGGGATACTCCATGCTCAGAGCAGCCTCTCGGGGGTGGAGGAGTAGGGGCTTCCTGAAGGGTCCCTCCAGGGGTGGACAGCAGAGCTTGACCCGAAGCTCAGAGATGCATTGTGGGCCAGGTGAGGGGTGGGCAGAGGGGGGCGCCCACAGCAGAAAGGATGAGCATGAGTGTCAGGGCCCAGTGAGGGGGAAGGGAAGTGGACAGGGCGGGAGATGCAGGAAGGGCTGGAGGAACCATGGAGCTCACGGAGCTCAGTTTCAGAGGCTGCAAGGCAGCCTGGGTGGCGCAGGTTTGGCATGCAGGTGCAGGGAACACAGAGAGGCCTTGGCCCAGGGCAGGGGAGTGGAGCGAGGGGCTCTGGGGGTCCTGATGGTGCTATGCTGCTGCGGGAGGGGGCGGGCGGGGGGTCAGGGCCCATCGTGTGGGGTGACAGGTGGCCTTGCATGTGTTGCCCGGCACCTGGCAGCTGCGCCTCACTAATAGTTTGTTTTCTGCCTTCTCTTCGCCCACCTCCCAACTCGTGTCTCTTTTCTCTCCCTCCCGTCTGTCTGCCCCCCTCTCCCTCCCTTCCTCCCGTAGACCTGTCTGACCTTGACAACAATGACCATAACTGTGGCTGGGCGGAGTTGAGTCAAGCCCCTGACAATCTCTCCACAGTGACCAATGCCCTGGTGGGCATGAGCCCCTCATCCTCGCTCTCGGCCCTGTCCAGCCGCGCGGCCTCTGTGTCCAGTCTGCACGAGCGCCTCTTGTTTGCCCCGGGCAGTGAGGAGGCCATCGAAAGGCTGAAGGTGAGGGCAGGGCCAGAGCGGGCACCAGGCCCTGGGAAACTGAGCTTGGAGCCGTGGGCATGGCCTCGCCTCCCGGGGAGGCCCCCTCCTCTGGGCCCAGGGCCGAGCCCTCTTGTTAAAGGCAGGAGGTGAGGCCGTGCCCCGGGCGCCCCCTCCACCTGTCACTGCTCTCCACCCAGCACCACGGGGCCCTGCTTGCTGACGGGAGTGGGTGTCCTGGGGGCTCTGCCTCCCCTCTTGGCTATTCTGTGGTTGCGAGCCTTTGCCCTCTGGTCCCCTTGTGCCCACAGTCACTCCCTCACCCCCTGCAACGAGCCAGGCTGGTTTTAGGTTTTCTGTCCTGTTTTCCTGGGTGCAGGGTGAGCCCAGACCTTGGAGACTGAAGGGTTTAGGGTTCAAAAGCACAGAGGCCAGACTCCAGGCTGGGGTGGGGCAGCAGGGGGCGGGGGCCCTGGGCATAGGCCCACATGGGGTGGGGGCCCCCCTGGGTGTGGGGTCCACCAGGGTGTGGGGCTGGAAGCAAACAGGAAGTGTTGATAGCATCTGTGCATCAGAACCAGCCCACGCCTCTCCCTCCGGGGTCACTGTTTTTACTCCGTTCCCTGGGTGTGTCCAGAGGCAAGCACACAGTTTTGAGCTCACACTACCCCTCAGCCCTGGATCCTTCAGAAATCAAGCTCCAGCGTGGACTGGGCATGGGGGTCTTGGTGCTCTGCAGCCCTGCTCGTCTCCCCTCTGCCTGGCCCCTGACCTCGCTCTGCTCTGTGTCGCCCCCCAGGAGACAGAGAAGATCATAGCCGAACTCAACGAGACCTGGGAGGAAAAGCTTCGGCGGACGGAAGCCATCCGGATGGAGAGGTGGGTGGTGGGGACACAGGGCCAGCACAGCTCTGCGCTCCAGCGTGGGCTCCGGCAGACCCATCCTCTCTCACCTGTGGTCCCACGGACCTGATCAGGTGATCTGTACCTCCAAGCAGACACCTTAACTCACTGACCAGATGGGTCACTGCCTGGGCTCTGCCTTGGACTATGTGGCCGGAGCACCACTGGCTCCCGGTCACTTGGGGGGAGGCAGGTCCTGTGGCCTCTTGAGGTTTGAGCTAACCCCCATCTTCCCTCCAGGGAAGCCCTGCTGGCCGAGATGGGCGTGGCCATGAGGGAGGATGGCGGCACTCTGGGTGTGTTCTCTCCCAAAAAGGTAGGAGCAGGTCCCTGTTTTGTGGGGCCCGGCTTGAACAGGCCTGGGCCCCCTGCAGCCTTCGAGGGGTCTCAGTCCTCTAGTGGGATTACAGCAGGGGGTCCAGGCCCTGAGGGCCCACACCCACCACAGATGGTGTGAGACCCAGCCCCCCTCCTCAGGGCGGGGCTTCCCTATAGCCTTGGGAAGTGGGCTGGGGTGCTCGTCCAGGTCAGGGTGACACTGGGAACCAGACTCAGGCTGGTCCCTACCTGGAGCCTGTGCTGCCCACAGACAGGGCGGGGCCGGACCCGGGGCTGGGAGTCAGCTCCCTCTCAGAGCTCACCAGACCTTGTCTTAGGAGGGTCTCAGGGTCTGCCAGCGGGGAGCCCTCCAATGGAGTCCCCCTCCGATGCTCAGATGGAGCATTTGGGGAAAAGTCTCTGGTGATTCTAGGACCCAGACACCACCACCACCCCAAAGATTGCCAGATCCTTCGAGCCCTTAGGAGCAGAGCTCCAAGCCAGGGGGCCTCCCTGGAGGCAGGGGTAGTGGCTCTCCAGGCCCTGCCCCTGCCACCTTGTTGGGGAGGAGGCACCGGGCCTCCTCCCACAGTGCAGCCCCCAGTGGTTGGCTTTTCACCCCAGCTTTGTTTGGGGCAAATGGATTCTGTGTTTGCCAGTCTGTGTTTCCCCGTTGAGCCATTGGGGGCTCCAAGGGAAGAGGAGCCAAGGGCACTGGTATGGTGGGCTCCCTGGAATGGGACCAGGCTTCTTGGGCTTCTGCCCCCACACAGTCCAGGCTGGGGGACAGTGCATGCTGAGTGGCAGGAGGGAGGCGTGTTGGGGGGACCTGGGACAGAGTGGGGAGCAGGCAGGGCCTTGATGGGGTCTTACTTCACATCCCTTCTGGAGAGGCCTTGGTTTTCTGGAGTGTGTTGTTCCTGGGCTGTTTCAGACTCTGCTCCTTCCTGGAGGGGTGGGGCGCCCCCAGGCTGGCTTGTGGAGCTGTGGGTGCAGGGGCCTCAGGGTGCTGGGTGCCCTGCAGTTCTTTTGCTTCATTGGTCGCCCTGGGTATGGAGGACGACCCTGGGGACCACTGCAGACACCTCCTCCTGAGAACCACAGTGTTCCTGGGACTCTGGGTCCCCTCACTTAGCCCAGCCGGCAAGCACAGCCCTTCCACACACGCCTGCTCCGGGCTGGGGTGGCTGGGGGTGGTTTGTCCGGGAGTCTGATGACCAGGTCTTCACAGCCCTGCACGGGCGCGTGAGTGGGGTGCTGAGGGACTTACAGCTCTGGGTGGGGACAGCGCGCCCCAAGGTGTCAGTGGGAAACTGAGGAAGCCAGCTCAGCCTCTGCCTGTTGCAGGGTTCTTGCCCAGGACACAGTGTGGTGGTTCCTGAGCTGAGGGACGGCGGAGGGGGGGGGGGGGGAGCATCAGAGGGATGGAGGTGGGGCGTTGGGCCCCGGTGGGCAGAGCCTGCAGCAGCTGCCCTGGGGACGGAGTGGAGCAGGGAGTCCAGGGCAGGACTTAGACAGGGGCCACTGGGGGGAGATGGTCACCTTGGCTTTGGACCGTGTTTTGCTCGACCATGGACAGGAGAGGCATGATGGGGGGTTGTCGACTTGGGTGGAGACTTTCACAACCTCTCTGCTCCCACTGCCAGCGTCTGAGGCCTTCTTGGCCAGAGTTGTACTCCTTGGTTCGAGTGCCCACTGGAGCCCTCGCTCCTGGGTGCCCACCACAACTCCAAGCGCCCCTGGGCCCTTGAATGCTGAGAGCTGGGCTCCCAGTCCCTCCCGAAGCCCAGCTCCCCCTGAGTGTCAAGGCTGAGCCCCTACCCAGCCTGCTATCTGGCTGTCCCCTCCAAGTCTGTGGAGTCCCTGTCAAAGGCTCTTCCTCTGGAAAACTTTTCCTTCATGTGTCCTGTCCTCCCTGCCAAGCTGGAAGGATGCCGTGTCCCTCACGAGGCCAGGCCCAGCATTGGTGGTGGTCTGGTGCCCAGGGAGAGAGGTCAGGTAGGCAGCCAGTGCTGGGCTCCTGCTCCCTGCAAGACAGGTGACCCTCCTCTCTCCCTAGACGCCGCATCTTGTCAACCTGAACGAGGACCCGCTGATGTCTGAGTGCCTCCTCTACTACATCAAGGATGGGCTCACCAGGTGGGGCAGGCTCACAGGTGGGGTGGGCTCACAGGTGGGGTGGGCTCACAAATGGGGTGGGCTCATAGGTGGGGCAGGCTCACAGGTGGCATGGGCTCACTAGGTGGGGTGGCTCACAGGTGGGGTGGGCTCACTAGGTGGGGCGGGCTCCCAGGTGGGATGGTTCACCAGGTGGGGTGGGCTCACCAGGTGGGGCGGGCTCACCAGGTGGAGCAGGCTCACGGGTGGGGCAGCAGTGGGGGTGAGGGCCCATCCATGTTTCCTGGAAGTGATGCTCTGGCTACGCTGGGCCGAGTGGCTCTCCCAGGATTGGCTGTGTTTGGGGGTATTCCATGTGCCCCCACTCATGTGCATCTTGGGTGTTTCCCATTAAAGCCCAGGTAGGTGTCCCTGGAGGCTGCAGGGGAAGTGGGGAGGGAGCCAGCAGGTGGCATCCTGGGTGCCCTGGTCATTGATGACTGTGCTCCCCCTGTTCCCCACAGAGTGGGCCGTGAGGACGGGGAGAGGCGGCAGGACATCGTCCTGAGCGGGCACTTCATCAAGGAGGAGCACTGTGTCTTCCGGAGCGACTCCAGAGGCGGCAGTGAAGGTACTGCTACTCTTCACCCCACCCCAGTGCTGCTGAGCCTCCGGTCAGCCCAGGCCAGCTCATTACCTCCAAGATCCCCAGTCAGTCCTGGGAAGCCCCTCCATCAGACAGGGGCTTGGGCGACTAGGCTGGGGCTGTGGGCAGCCTCTCCTGCGTCGGTGTGTTTTGGGGTGATCCTGGGTGGGAGGACAGTGAGCCATGAGGAGCCAGCCAGGTGGAAAGTGGAGAATTATTTCTGGACCACACTTTCCCGCTGTCTGTGGAGCGGCCACCGGCCCATTTCCCTGCCTGTCTGCCGTCCGTCTACATGGCCTGTCTCGGGTGTGATGTCTAGGGGAGCACCTGCTGGTCAGAGTGTTGTTACAGCTGAGGCCAGGTGTCCAGCCAACCTCTGGGCTGCACACGGTGGCCGACACCTGCTGTATAACTGGGACACTTCAGGGTGGTGGCCTTAAACAATATTGGGGACATTGGCTCTCCCAGAATTCTCTGTCCCCAAAGCCTGCCCTCCCCTGAGTGGGCGGGCACAGAGCCAGAGAGGCTCCGGGACTCCTGGGGATGTGCTGCCCACCTGGAGAGCCTGACAGGGTTGGTGTCAGCCCAGAACAGCCTCCTGGCTCTTTGACAGGGTGCCACTCTCCTCATCTGTTAATCAGGTGTGACCCCTCGGCTTCTCTGAGGCCCAAAAAGGTGCCACTAACAGTTAAGGCTTTGCTGCTAGCAAGGAGGAGAGTGGTGGTGGGGCTGCCCATGGGTGCCAGGTGAGCAGAGCCCTGCAGGTAGCTGGAGGGCGTGGCACCCACGATGACAGCTCCTGACAGGCCTTCTGTCTGTCCCCCTATCTGTCCTGTAGCCGTGGTGACCCTGGAGCCCTGTGAGGGGGCAGACACCTACGTCAATGGCAAGAAAGTCACGGAGCCCAGCATCCTTCGGTCAGGTACAGCCAGGCAGAAGGCCCGTGCCACCCTCCGCCGGTGGGGCCCGTCTGCTCCCAGGGCTGTGGGCATTCGGGAAGGCAGAGCATTGGCTCGAGGCGCCAGGCTGGGAGGAGAGCCTGGCATGGGGTGGCACCATGGCAAGGATGGGACATGGGGAAAGCCCGGGACTGCACTTTGCAAACATCCCTGGCTACAGAGGGGAAGGGCTGAGAGGGTGATTTGGGGCAAGTGAGGAGGTTCACTTGAAGTCTGGGCCAGGGCC